ATTATAATTCTTTTAACGAAATAAATTTAATTATAGAGCGGATTTATAAAAAGAAAAAAATAGATAGTAATGAACACATTCCAATCATTATATGTGGTAATAAATGCGACTTGGAATTAAATAGAATTGTCACAACAGATAAAGGAGAGACATTAGCAAACTCAATGAATATCCAATTTTTCGAAACTTCTGCTAAAAATGATATAAATGTTGAAAATGTGTTTTGCGCACTTTTGAAAGCTGTTCTGAAGAAAAAACAATCATTTCAAAGAGCAAAAAACGAGTTGAATATACAGAAAAGTTCAGAGAAAAATAGCTGTACTTTAATATAACAGCGCACAAAGGAAATAAAAAATTGCTTCTGTACTTTTAACTAATCCATTTAATTATATAGATTTTAATAATAATAATATAATAAAATGTATGGTATTGTTTACCATGAAGGTTGAATAAGCACCATAGAAACTTTTCTGTCCAAGGTGGTAATTTGTATTATTCTTTTAATTATAATGTTATTAGTTATAACTATTAAATCAATAGGAAATAGTTTTTAATAGGCTCTATAAATAATAAACACAATTCACGTACGAACAACTACCATAAATATGTGAACATCTTTTGTATTATTATATTGTTTTGAATCAACTTATCTTTATCTTTCATTAAATTTATAATTATTTTTTTCAAAAAACGTATCAAAAGTAAAAAGATATATAATAATACATATAAATTACCCCTCATATGAAAGGCGGTATTTTTCAACTGCGATATCTTTCTCAATCTTTGTCGTGAAATTGATGTTCTCAAATTTGCTGTTTCTGCTCTCAAAGTCTGCTATCTTCCAAATGTTGAGTGTCTCAACTGTTGTATCAACAAATGCAATTTCAACACTCCGACCAACTGTTATATTGCTGTACACTCCACCACGGAATGTCGCCTTTTTCATTTCTCCAACGATCAATTGTGATGGATATTCTTGAGTGTATTCTTCACCAAAGTGCTCGACTTCAAGCACCTCAATTCCACTCAAACTGATATCCAAGTACCCATCCAAGTCAATCACTTTCAACTTCTTTGTTCTTTCACTTTCATAATAAATACCACGACACTTGAAATCACCAACAACTTTCCCTTTACTGACAACAGTTGTGTTGTATAGGCACCAATCGCTCATATCAAACTCTTTGTATTTATCAATGTCAACAACCAAATTGTTTTCATTTTCATTGTCGTACAACCTACTTTGACATTTTTTGTTGGTTTTGTTGTTGTTAATTAAAATGTTGTTGTGAATAAAACGGATTTTGCTGCTGTTTTCTTCGTTGTTAAAGATACTGACTCGCACGAGTCTCTCATCGTATATGTCCATTGGACTTCCATTGTAGCAGTCACTTTCGAGTTCTTTTAATTTGCAGTGTGTTGTGTCAACATCACAACTCGATGCAACAACACACAACTTTTCTATGTTGTCTGGCACTCCTATATATCCAAACTGAACACATTCGATGTTCAACTCTTTAATTGTTCCAGACTTTCTAAAGTCAAAAAATGCGTAGCTCTTGTTAAGTCTGTCAACATCACGCCCATACGATGACAGCCGTAGTGATGTGCTCAGTGACTTATTCATCACATCTTCAATATCACATTCGTTAGAACTCATGTCTGTGTCTGCAAATACACGAGGTGTCGTCTGTCTATACTCGTAATTGACATATTTGAATTTAAGTGTCTCCTTCGACAGAAATGTCACAAAGACTTCTGTGTTATTTGGAAGGGTTGCAAATAATGAAATGTCTGCACCACTTTGGGAGTTTTTCTTTGATAAAACAAATGTGTATTTTGTTTCATAGTGTTCATCAAATGGGAAGGATGTGTATTTTGATAAAACACCAATGTCACCACAAAGAGTCACACCTCGTAATGTTCTGTGTGCCATAACAACACTAAGCGTGTTGTACGTGTCACTGTATGATGACGTGAGCGAAACAAAAAGAAATCTGAGTTGGACAAAATCACAAATATTAAGTGAAAGTGCGTCAATTTGATCAGAAGTGATGCGAAGTCTACGCGCTTTTGTGTGCATCCACTTGTGGTCGTCAATTAACGGCTTCGGGTAACACATCTCCTCACTAAATTCAACATTCTCAACAGTAGCATCGTTAATTTCTTCTTTTTCTTCTGTTGTCGTGTATGTTTTTTCTAAGTAATTTTCTTTGTCAAGTCTTGTGATGAATAATGTCTGAAGGGACTTGAAAACATTTTTAATTTGGGTAATGGACGAGGTGCGCGATAGTTTGTACGAGTTAATATACATCGTCTCAACACAATCACGACACTTCTTGTTGACAGAAATGAACGTTGTGACATCACACATCGTCTCAAGATACAAAACAACACTTTTTCATGAAGAACATCTCAAGACCACACATCATTTGGTTAATGGGGGCCTATC